GCAAGTCCTTGGACTGTTGGGCTATTGATGTCCACTGGTTGTTTAGTGTCCACAGATGAAGAGAGAATCCCTGTGATGCAAGTCCTTGGACTGTTGGGCTATTGATGTCCACTGGTTGTTTAGTGTCCACAGATGAAGAGAGAATCCCTGTGATGCAAGTCCTTGGACTGTTGGGCTATTGATGTCCACTGGTTGTTTAGTGTCCCCAGATGAAGAGAGAATCCCTGTGATGCAAGCCTTGGTTGTTGTGCTATTGATGTCCACTGGTTGTTTAGTGTCCACAGATGAAGAAAGAATCCTTGTGATGCAAGCCTTGGCTGTTGGGCTATTGATGTCCACTGGTTGTTTAGTGTCCCCAGATGAAGAGAGAATCCCTGTGATGCAAGCCTTGGTTGTTGTGCTATTGATGTCCACTGGTTGTTTAGTGTCCACAGATGAAGAGAGAATCCTTGTGATGCAAGCCTTGGCTGTTGCACTATTGATGTCCACTGGATGTTTAGTGTCCACAGATGAAGAAAGAATCCCTGTGATGCAAGCCTTGGTTGTTGTGCTATTGATGTCCACTGGTTGTTTAGTGTCCACAGATGAAGAAAGAATCCCTGTGATGCAAGCCTTGGTTGTTGTGCTATTGATGTCCACTGGTTGTTTAGTGTCCACAGATGAAGAAAGAATCCCTGTGATGCAAGCCTTGGTTGTTGTGCTATTGATGTCCACTTGTTGTTTAGTGTCCAAAGATGAAGAGAGAATCCCTGTGCTACAAACCTTGGCTCTAGGGCTATTGATGTCCACTGGTTATTTAGTGTCCCCAGAAGAAGAGCGAAGCCCTGTGCTGCCTCCTATGCAGGCGATATCAACTGTGAACTTTTAGTTTCTGAAATAAAAACTGTTTGATCGATCAGTTACAGAACTTGTACTGCTGCTCAAACTTAAAATGAAAATGATAATGAGATTTACTTACATAAGGTAAAGGAAGGGCTCACAGAGATGTATCTAAACTTGAGCTCTCTTTATCACTTGTTTCTAATTCTACCCAGACACATCCTCCATTTTGAAGCTCATCAAGAGCCAGCCAGCTCTGTAGCTCCACGATAGAGCAGCGTCTCGGTGACTTGATCAGAATGAGTGACGTCAAGTCAAGTCAGCTGTTATTCACGATTCTTCCTAGGATCATTTTTTCTATTGATGAAGATAGCTGTCCACTTGTGCTTTGTATAATGTTTTCACTTGCATATTGTGTACACGTGTTGTTGTACGTACGCATTATTGCTACATTTAATGTGTTACGTGCATGTACACGTAAATAGCAGATACATATACGGGAAAGTTTAGACTATGCTTGCTCCAATCCTATTCTTGTAAGACCTGTTTCTTTGTAGCTTTTACACATGCATGGTCCTAATGAACTTAGAAAAACACATATTCATCAATACCAGCAGTAAACAACTGGACATTTGTCCTTTCTCGGTAAAGAATAACTTCCATTACCAAGTTTATCGTCTCTGTTCTCACCCCCAGTCATAATCCTTTCTTTCTGGAATATAAGGTAGTTGATGTTGAAAATAAAAATACTTCGTAAAATCCAGTATTCCAGAGAGAGAGAGAGAGAAAAGAAACTTGTTTGAAGTTTGTACAACAGTGTATCAAGCAAAATAAATATCTAAAAGGGGCTTTATTTAGTTTCCATCTTGTTTTGTTTTTAATTTTGCGCAAAGCTACACGAGGGTTATCTGCGCTAGCTGTCCCTAATTTAGCAGTATAAGACTAGATGGAAGGCAGCTAGTCATCACCACACACTGCCAAGTCTTGGACTACTCTTTTACCAACGAATAGTGGGATTGACGTCACATTATAACGCCTCCATGGCTGAAAAAGCGAGCATGTTTGGTGGGACGGGGATTCGAAACGGCGACCCTCAGATTTCGAGTCGAGCGCCCTAACCACCTGGCCATGCCGGGCCCAGTAGAATCTTAAAAATTAAAACAAAATAGCGGTAGGAATGCAATTGAATTTAATCTGCGTAAACACAGTTGGGGCCTCGCACAGCCTGGTAGTTAAGGTGAACGATTCGCAACAGTTGGGGCCTGGAGTAGCCTGGTAGTTAGGGTGACTGACTCGCGACAGTTGGGGCCTCGCACAGCCTGGTAGTTAAGGTGACCGACTCGCAATTTGCGAGTTCGAGCACAGATAGCCTGTTGTGTAAATTTGTGCTTAAAAACAAGCAAATAAAGTTTGTTTGTTTTTCAAGACAAAGAGTATAACACTATTTCAAACAAACTACGTCCACCATGTTCACTCAATACAGAGTTGGTCATAAAACTTGTTAACCAATACAAATCCGTATGCATCCAGAATAAATTTGTTGAAATAGTTAAAAGGATGTCAACTCTTTAGGAGTTTCGCTGTAGATCAGGCTTCGCTGAATTTCTTGGAATTTCACAGTTGTCGACCCTGCCCCCATTTGGCACCGAAGGTAAACACGTTATCCCTCTCCCCATCATTGTTCTTACTGCACCTAAGGACAAATAGTAAATAGTTGGTTCCGACTACAAATTCGAATTAATGAGTAATTGGTAGTATGATGTTGTTTTATGAAGATAATATATAGACAATTTTATCAGTGTAATTGTGTCAGCCTAGAAAAAAATGAAATTTTGTTTATTATTTGTTTTGTCGAATTTTGCACATAAGGCTAACTGCGCTAGCACTCCCTGATTTTGAAGTGATAGAAGGAAAACAACTAGTCAACACCACCCACCGTCAACGCTTGGAGTACTCTTTACTAACGATAAGTGGGATAGACTGTACCATTAAAACGCTCCATAGCTGAATTCGGTGATGGGAATCTGTCTGTTGCGGTATCTGAATACGATTTTTAGCGTTATAAGCCCTTAGACTTTACAGCTGAGCCATTGGGAAAGAGGGGGAACAGAAGGACTGAATAAAAACATATAACAGTTCTAATGTTTTATGACAAGTATACTTAATTGTAAATCATGCTTCGCGAGCTTAGAAACGGCGTTCACACCATTACAATTGTTGATGTAACGAATCACTTTTTAAATGTTACAATATGTATAAATGGTGCTATTTATTATTGCATGGTGACGAAAATGGTTGACTGTTGAACTAAAGTCAATTTGGCAATGTAAAGACGAAAATAATTATTCTCTGCTTGTAAGTAAAAATACTAATTACTATTATGAAACTGATATTACTGCGAAACATGTCATTTGGAATAATAATTAATCTTTATTACGGCAGGGTGCGTAACATGTTCATTTTACGCGAATCTTTGAAAGAACCATAACAATGTAGCACGTATAAATAATATGTTATCAGTTTTCTTTCCTTCAAATTATTTTATCGCGGATCTTTTTGTTTTTGTTACCATGTTCAGATTATCAAGTTAAATTACATTATTTGATGAAACGATACCCGAGTAAGATGATAAGACGACAGATTAGCCATATGCTGCGATAGGCTAGTAGTACATGAAGTTTTACGTGTGGCAAATCTGCTCCAATGCTCGTTTATTCGCTAAACAGGCCTAACCTCGTCAGATGTTTTAGGGTTAACGGTCGAAAACAGCTAACAGTAACAGCGAGGATACTGAGCAGCTGACTTAAGGCAGAATAATCATTGTGGTTTGCCTGCATTAATTAAGACTAATCATTAATGACTGTTGTTGTATATTTTTGGCGGGTTTTCTGGTAGAAGTTTTTGTATGAATATAAACACATGGAGATGTGGCAACCTAAAGTATAAAACCGTGACTCGCTGATTAATCAACTGGAAGGGTTTTAATTTAAAAGATCGTAACTTTACCTTCCAACACCCAAGTTGCTGAAACAACTTTTATCACTAAACCTTCTAGAACATTAACAAGATGCTTAAATTATTTACAAAATTTACGAGCTTGTTTTGATAGATCGAGATTAGCGTTTATTTCAACTTCAATTAATAAATTATTCTAGAGAGGCACCTAAAAAAAGTTAGAATATACAAGTCTTACCTATTTTAAACTTCAAGTCACTTCAACAGAACTTTAGTAGGCTTAATGATTGTATATATGTATTAAAGATTTCTTTTCTTTTTTCACCAGAAGTGAAATTGAAAAGAGAATCTGTGACGAAGAAGGCCTAAGACTAATAGTAGTACATTCTTTGATTGGCCGTACCCTCTGCTGTGGACTATTCAAGACTCATCAGCACAGCTTGGGTCAGGAAACCAAAGAAATAGTGGTTTGGCCTCTTATAATGTTGATTTGTATTTTTATATAGTATATGGTGAAGTAATACGGGTTCAAAATCCCATAGTCATTTAGTAGGCTTAATTGTTTAGATAAATCAGAAATGACACCTATCGGCTTTCATAATCTAAATATTGAATATTCAACAAAACCCAACGACGAAATTACGCATTTTTTAACGGTATGCAAGATTACTGTTCGTAATTCAATAATAATTTGATACGACAATATGCAATACCGTAACTATTTAAATTGAGAATTGTCTAACAAATATGATAGTGCATCTATATCTTGTTGATTTGCTTTAGAAATATTTATTTTTTTCTACAACATCCATGACGATAAGTCGAAACAGCTATTCGTCATGAACTGTCAACATTTTTCAGTTCTTCAGAAAATCCAAACATTATCTGCACAATCCTGACCTTTATGCGTATTTTATAAAAATTTGATTCGAATCGTTTTGCTGTTGTTGTTGTTTAATATTATTTACCCTCGTAATAGAATCACGTTTTCGCGTTGTTATTTAATCAGGCGTAATTTATTTTTTGTTAGCTATTTTCACAAATATTCCATATGTAAACTTCTTGCGATGGTATTCCTCACCTGACCAAAATTGGCATTGTGTCTTTGTACGCCCTCGGTTTCAAATGTGACGTATCAAACACAGTTTATTCGTCAATACACACGCGCCCGGGCTGAATCAGCTCTGGGAAAATACCTCCTCTTGTTAAATAAGAACACTTGTTAAAACCGACATCAGTCTCTTCGTCTTGTCACTGGGTCTATTGTAGTTGGCCAGCTTACAAATGCTTAAAAATTTCTGTTACAAGATTATGAGAGTCCACTATGTAATAGCCTACGCTGAATGACCATTTATTTGGACTTCATGTCATACGACTGCGAGACAACTGGCACAAAAGAAGAATGACATTATCTTTAAGACATCGTGTCTTATTATGATGTTACAAATTATAGTCATCTTTTGTTTTCTGTTAAAGTGAATTGCACCCCAGTGGCACAGCGGTATGTCTGCGGACTTACAACGCTAGAAACCGGGTTTCGATACCCGTGGTGGGAAGAGCACAGATAGCCCATTGTGTAGCTTTGTGCTTAATTTCAAACAAAGAAACAAATAAAGTGAATTGCACAAGAATTATCGAGTTTAAAAACTGTCGATAGCTGCTTCTGCTGAATTAGTCTTTTCGGTAGTCAAGTCCTTTAAAACATTTCCATTCACCAACGTACTTTAATAATGGAATACAATTACCTTACTTTTGGCTCACCACGTCACTTTATGACGTAATATTCATAATAGGTTATTTACTGTACTACCATTTTAACAGTTTAGTCTAGGACGATGTGATTCTATAACGTAATGTCCTCACTGTTCGTAACCTTACATCCAACATCAGGGACTACTTTCAACTTTCCATTAACCATCTCAATGTTCGGTTCCAAATGAATTCTTGTGGGCAGAGCCACCCTTAGGGCAAGGCAGCTGGCTAGGTACTTCACCAGGGGGACTTGCTTGTTTTTTTGTGTTTGCTTTTTCGTGCGAGCAATTCTTAAAAGATGAAGCTACAAAAAGTCATGCGGTTGACCCATTACCGAACGTCCCACGCGGTTCTGTTATTCAATCACTGTCATTATTAAAAAAAAAAAAGTGATTCCATGCACGGAATTAGCTCGTTTCAAAATGTAATGTGCAGCTGTTTTGAATTTTTAGTTGTTTTTTTTAATTTAAATTATATATGACCCTGGTCTATATAAAATAGGCAGTGGTGTGTGTGTGTGTGTGTGTGTGTGTGTGTGTGTGTGTGTGTGTGTGTGTGTGTGTGTGTG